CCCCCGTTAAACGATCAATATCAAAGGTTTTACGTACTGGTAGTATGAACCTGTGGTGTGTACCGACATGCTTTCACGTGCTTGTCCATTCTAAGTCGATTTAAGCTTCTGAAACGGTCTCAGTAGAACCCTTGGAAATTCTGGTGTATGTCAGATAGATTTGGTATATTTGTTCGAAACTCGCGAAATTTCAGGAATGTGCACCACACCAACCGCATTAACATGATCCACTTGCTATAGTTGATCAAAAGTTGTTCCATGTGCTGTATTAGCTAAATGAGGTTAATCTGTATATTAAGATTGCGATCGGGGCTCTACGTTCTTCGTAACCGCATGTACCAGGACAAGTATGGATTTCAAAGAAAAAATTGTAAACAGTTCACTATTTCTCGATCAAAATGAGAACGATAATATCAAAGTGAAATGGCAAATTTAAGAGAAGGGAGAAATGCCTCGGCTTATCGTTTGGGGGTGAGATTATTGAAAGACATACCAATGAATCGGCAAGGCTACGCCTCTGAACATACGATTAAGTAGATGGTGATGTAGAAGCTCTCATTTTGATTTCTCATTCATCAGGGGAATTTTCGATCGATCAAGCAAGGAATAACACAATTATATGGACTTTAGATCCAGTGTCTTGGGGATGGATGCTCAGACCTAAAATTACTCGAATGGTTAATACAATATAGGAGTCTAAACTTACTTCCTGGTATCTATGATATGCATATACTCGCGCTCTTTCGTTAACCTGTTATCACTGTGTATTTCTTCTGAAACGTCGCCGTATGGATGATATTGCATTTAGAAATGCAAGAAAAGGTGACCCGTTCCAAATTGACTGTATCGTAGCCTTGGTAGACCCAGCTCAATAAACCTCGTTACCGTATAACCGGTAGACAATAAAAACACACAATTCGATTATATCATGATAATCCTTTTCTTTCCTTGATGTGATCGTATACAGGCAGCAACTGCAATTAGTCCAGTCTATAATGCCGGTGATAGTGCATGTACATCTACATATACTACTTCTGTGTTCAGTGTCTGTCTGATGTACAGTACAGTACCGGTTCTCATCATTCAATTGTTGCCTGTAGAGTTCCACCTATCCGGATGAAGTGGTAGATATGGCTTTGATTTTGTGGACGCTTGTTTGAAATCGAACATTCACACCTGTGACCCATTAAGTCCATTTTGGAAAGGGATAACAGTACTTGGGTTTGGGTCTTGAGGAGAAATTGAAAAGAGAGACTTGTAGGTTGTTGATCAGATCGTACGATGAAATCGAGTGGTTGTCTGCTGATTTTTTTTCATTAACTTTTTACATACCATACGATTTGTATGCATGTGAACACTTAATGATCGCGCCGTTTATCTGAATGATTTGTTCGTTTCGTAAACACCTGCCTGACTCTTCCCAACAAACCATTCAGATAAACGACGCGATCATTCAGTACGTAAACACCTGTCTGACTCTTCCCAAAGCTTCTGTGCCCAAAGCGTCTGAGCTGTCAATGTCAAGGTGATGATTTGGGGGGGGGGGGGGGGGCAATTGCCTGATCACAATTGTGACTAAGCACTACAGTATTTGGAAAAACGATACTGCTACTAACGTACTTATTTCGCTGTGCCCCGCCATAGAACTGTAGACGGATAATATGGTAGAAGGAGTTTACACATAATTATCCTTGATGGGAAGGCAGAAGATTCTATACATAAGGATAATGGCTTTATTTCT